ATTATCTCTCTGACAGAAAGGGCAGGAATTTAAATCTAGGTGACTTTGAGAGAGACATTTTTTGTGCGAGGCGTATTGCTTCAAGAATTACAGAAACTAGTGATCTCATGCAATGATTCCCAACAGGGGGTACTCCTATCCCTAGTGGTCTGCAAGTGAAAATATTTTATGTCTTAGGCAGCAAAATAAAATAGGGCTGGGATTGGTTTTGTTTTGTGAGGACCCAATTAAAAAGGCTTTTATCAACCAAAAAGCATGTTTTTCTTTGGCTTTACCTTGAGCTATAACACACACCAGAACCAAGCAGAGGAACAGACTGGAAGTAAAGAACAGCTTGGTACCACATGTTTTTCACACTGATCTATCGAAGCTAATAAAAAAAGCAGCTCAGGTGTCTTGATGAAAACAAAGTAACACTAATTAAGTCAGTCTGACTATATTTTTTGTTCTGTATTTTGTTCCAAATTCATCAAATTTACCGATACAGGTTTATTATATGATTTTATTTTGTATTTGTATTTATTTTGATTCCTTACTAACTTCCAGGCAACATATTTGTTTTTGTTTTTTTAAGAGGGTAAGAATAAAATGCCCAATAATTAAATTCTAAAGATAAAAGATTAAGTAAAATAGTCTTTATTTTATAATTAGTTATTGTATGTTCCATTTTTGGACAATCATCAATACTTTTGACTCAGAGGGGTACTCATGATAAGACAAAATGACCAAAAGGGTACACAAGACAAAATAAGGTTTAGGAAAAACTGATCTAATGGAATTTTCATGCACAAGAATATTTCAGGTTTGCTGATAATTATGATTTTTAGTGCAGTTCTGTGAATGTCTGAGGAGAGGCAATGGAAGTTTAAAACGCATGTGCATCTCAGCAGCAGATCACCAATGGAAGGAGCTTGAAGCACTATCCATCCTGCCTGGTAACAGTGGTGGTGTAATGATGGGGGGGATATTTTCTTGGAAACTTTTCTATCAAGTTAGGATCACTTAAATGCCACAGTCCATCTAAGCGTCCATCTCTTTGTGACCACTTATTACCCATCTGCTGACTGTACCTTATAGCAGTGTAATGGACCATATCAAAAGCTCTGAACATCTCAGGCTAGTTTTTTGAACATGGCAATGAGTACTGTACTGCAGAAGCCCTGACAGTCACCAGAAAGCCCAAAAGAGTCCCTTTGTGGTGGATTGTGTGATTGATAAATGGGCACCTGACAAATCTTTATCTGCAGCAAGTGTGCAATGCGATCACGTCAACATGGACCACAATTTGTGAGGAATGTTTTAGGACCTTATTGAATCCATTCAATGAATAATTAATGCAGAACTTGCAAGATTAATCTATCCACTGACTGCAAGTCCAAGTTCTCGGTTTGTGGTGGAGCTGGCTTCTGTCCAGGACATCTTTTATCCACGTTAAAGTGTCCTCACTTTTATAATGATCAGTAAAACACTTCAGTTCTTGCAGTTTCCCTTTTTAATAGGATCATATTATTGAACTACTTATCCCCAACCCCCCCTCAGACAGTATTATTGGGTTTGACGTGAACTCAGTGTAATTCACTTAAAAGAACTCTTTCAAGAACTCACTTTGCACTAAAATTAGCTAACAGCTCCAGGTTTTTGAGCAGAATTTAAAAAAGTGCACGACAGAAAGAACAAACCTCCAAATTCGGGATGTTTTATATCTTGCTCTACTCAGAATCAGGTTAGTTTCAGCCAAGTTCCGCTCATGTTTGGATCCTTGCTGGAACAGGTGTGGATGTGTTGAGGCTTCTCTGATTCATTCGTTCTACACATTTTTTGCATTTGAAAAGTTTTTATCTGAGTTTTTTTATGCCCTGAATACGGGAATTGATTTAAACCAGAACCTTAACCCTTTACTCCCTCTCTTTGTTAAGGTCAGGGGCCGTTTTAATCTTCCAAACATTTTGTTGCTGCTCTGTGGTTCCTTTTCCAAATAGGTGAGTCATAATGGAAAAATTTTACCTGACCAACCATATACAAAGACTTCCAGACTTTATTTCCACTGGGTTAAAACGATGGATTGTTCTAAGAACAAGAAATGTAAAGAAAAAAAAATCTAATGGAATCTAGTGTTATGTGCGTAGAATTTACTTTCCAACCCGTTTTATTTGGATTTGGTTCCTTCCTTCAGCTCTGCTACATTTGGCTGGAAGAAACTGGCCGACTGTCTTGGATCTCATTGTGAAGCTGTAGCAAAGAGTCTCTTATATATCTATAGTATGCATGCTTGTCATGAAGTAATTTATGTAAACATCTTTTATATGTTCAGACCTCTCATCTGCATCTGTTGTGGAAGTTTGTGATCATTTACTTTTGTTATAGAAATAAGCCACATAAAATAGGCTTTAATGAATGATTGAAGGTCTTATTGTGAAAATTATATATATATAAAAAAGTTATTGGTCGTTTCCTTTAAGATAAAAATACAAACAAATGTAATAGCCCCCGTCTTCTTTTGCACACAAATGTCACTAAGGAATTGGAGATTTATGATAGTTCTTGTGGGAAACTCAAGGATTTTCATCTAAACCTACAAAAATGGAAGATATCTAATGAGCTGCTTATAGAAATGAGTCTCAGGGGGTGGTTACTCAGCAGCTGTCACAGATAGGAAGCCTGAGGATGACGTGATATCTCCTGCCAGCTTCTTATTGTTATGGCTGTTACTGTTGCATAACTGAAGGCAAATAAATGAGTGAAGTCGGTGAGGAGAAAAGGGGACAAAATAAAAAATACAACTAAACAGATGAAATAAATTTAACCATAGTATAAATTTGAAATAAAAAAAACACAATCTGTTGTCTTGCTTGTGTGTGAAGCTCCACACAACTCCGTTTGCATACCGAGACTCCATGATGTAAAGAAAAAGGGCCATTTTGTGAGGCAGCTAATGAGAACGGGGCTAAAGCTGTCAGCTGAACTTAGGATCATCTTTAGTGCATGGAAATCAGCAACTTCTTTCCCCTTTTTTACTAAGACTAATGCTCTAAAACAGACAATATAGATAATGTGAAGCTGCACATCTATTTCCATTGCAAACTGGGAAGTTGTGTAACATCTTCTAAACAAGGCAAGCATCAATTAGACAGGATTAAAACAACATAAAGATTTCAACTAAAAAGACAAGTAAAACTGTTCAAAGTTCAACTGACCAGTGCACTCCTGGAAATGCACAGCATGATGAGAAGTTGATGGGGAGAGCGGACAAAATGAGTCCTGTCTAATTGATCAAAATGAAACAGCTTTCTGCAAAACCACAATTTTTGAAAATAGAATAAAAAACAGATGCAACCAAAATAAACCTGCATTATAACTGCATCTTTTAGAGTTAACCAGGGAGTGTTTTCACTGGGTTTTAGAGAAACATGAATAAAACACAATTATGAATTTGCAATGATACCCGTAAAAAAATATATATATATATTCTATATATATATATATATATATTCTATATATATATATATATATATATATATATATATATATATATATATACACACATACATAAAAAATACACATCTTCATTGTCTTCTGCATCATTTCAGTGATGATAAATCCATGCATCAACAGCAGAAATCAAGATACGGCAGCAAGAGAGGGATCAGCTTCTTACCTCTTTCGGCTGTAGGGAGATTCTGTCTCCTGTCTTTTATCTCTTTGCCGGTGTCCGTGAAATATTTACCCACTCAGAGAGCTACAGTGGCTACCGTCAATGCTGGACACTCTTGAAAATTCATCATCCTCAAAGAAACGGCTCAGAGACATGCCAACATAAAATATAATCAGAGAAAAAAAAAGGAGGGATAAATGTGACAGCTGCTAAAATATTAAACGGTCAATAATTATAGGGTTGTCTGGTGACAGTGGAGAGGTGCTTGTGTTGATGGATGGACGAGGAGCTCTCGGTGAGCACGGGTTAGCGAAAAGAAAAAAAGAGAGAGGGAGGGATTAGGATTGAGGAGACACCCCTAAGGGACTCTTCATCGTTGCATTGTAGCCCTTAGTCAATGAACGCCCAAGTGAGTTCAAAACGCTGCAGTGACACGATGTTGCTCCAAGATAATCAATCTGTTAACGCAGATTAGTGGGGTCTAGCCTCTAAGTCGCTCTGCTTCCAGAGGCTCACTTATACCACCGACCCCCACTGAACATTCAAAAGCTCGCCCATCAGACCAACCAATCTCTGCCCAGAACACCAGTGTGAGCCCAGACCAAGTTACAAATAAAAACTATAAAGAAATGTAAAAGTCTCCCTAAACTGGATGCACTAACTGTATGATGGGGAAATCTTTAGTTCACCGCTCACGCCCTGGATGCAAAATTGAGCTGTTGCAAAAGGTAAAGATGTAAATGTCCCTGAATGTAGAGGAAGAAGCATGAACAAGCACACAGTTAAATTTGGGGAGTAGAAGGAGGGGGAATGCAGAGAACATGAAATCCTGAGGAGAATAGAAATGCAGACTCCCAGGGAGGGATGCTGAGAGAAAGAGGAGGGAGGGTGAGAGAGATGGAGCAACTAACAATGAACAGAAAGGGGCAAAGCAGTCTGCAATGGATTTGTAGGGGAAGGCATTTTCCAGTGGAGGCTGCAGGACATGTGATGAGTGCACGTTCGGAGAGATGACTTGTGAGGGACTGGAGACAGAAAAGTGATGAAAACACAAGGAGGTGAAATGCAATGAAAATTTTCTATTGGAGAGAAGGGGGCAGAGGAACGAGGGGGGGGATTGGTTTTTCTGTGTCACTGAAAGAGAGTGGGGGAGGGGAGATAATGCAACCAACGGGAACAAACAGTAGAGAACCAGGGATCATACTTGCACTCTCTTAGCTTATGGATAACGTATATACGGTTTTGTATCTGGAAGGATGATGGGGAGGAGGAAGGGGCCAGATTGACTATGAATCCCAAATAGTGAAGCAGCATCCATCACTCCAGCTAACAAATTAAAAATCACAGCTCTTAAAAATCATTCATTTAGTGTTTAATTGGAAAAGCAAACTAGCAGTTGTAATAATTGGTAGAAGAATAAAAAGTCATTGCTCTTGTTAGACACAGTATTACACAATATTAATGATCAAATTATTCAAAAAAAAGAACATAATACATGTTTGATTATTAAATTTAAAAAGCCTTCCAATGAGAAACATTCTTTTATTAGCCAAGCGCTAGAACCATCATCCACATAGAACACATCCTTTAAATTTAGACAGAAACCATACTTTGCATATAACCTTCTAGTGATTTATTTCTGTAATTTTTAGATTACATCCTCAAAGTTAAAAGCTTAATTCTCAAACAATTGAGTAACACCATCATGTCCCCATTATTTCAAACAGATTCCTGTGCCAGAAACCAAACAGCTTGATATGTGCAGACTCTGATGGGAATTTCCAAACTTTAGTGGGATTGTTTTTATCTTGAGAACAATGCATAGACTTTTTGAAACGTCTAACAAGTGATCTAAGCTCTAATAAAAAGCATATTTGTTTCTATAACTTAGCATCTTTCTGTAAACGTCTTTCTTTATACATTATAATTTAAATTAAGACATCATTACGTTCAGAAAAATCAGACCTGCTTTTGCTACAGTAACACATTTTAGTGACTTCCTTAATGAAACTTCCAATAAAGTCTAAAGTTTGTTGTTTTTGTGTTCCTTTTATATTCACAGTCTTTGACTGGGCGTGGATATTCACCATATTGTGGGAAACTTTCATGTTTCACACCTTTTCTCTCCCCTTCATTTATTCGTTACACCTTTAAAACTAAACAGAAAAAATCCTTGCAAAATGTCTCCCCTTCAGCTCTAATTTAAAATTGCACTAATTGAAAATAAATCTAAACTTGTTATTTCTTTGGCAGTCTTATAACATTTCTTGAATTCAAGCCACAGTGATATAAAAATATGAAAAGAGCCCTGAGCATTTAAATTATGAGCTTGTGGTAATTTAGTGGAACATACACAATAAAGTACAATTTATATAATTAAAATTGATAAAAAGACTGAGTAAGCTTCAGCTTTTGAATGAATAAGTCTAAAGTGATTATTCAAAGATAAAGGAAGTAAACACCCTATTGCACCAAACCACTTTGACACTACACACTATTTATGCACTGCTGGATAGAGTGAGATTCATTCATGTAATGAAGTGCACTTTCCTTACCGAAGAGTAACTGTGCAAACAATATCATAAAAACCGTTCAGTCCGGAGCCTCCCATGTTACAGAGATGTAAGGTGTTAACTGGTAGTCGACCAAAATTCAAACCCTTCCCCACCTTCAAGTCCCCAACTCCTTCAAAAATCCTCTCCTCCTCACTTTTGTCTACCTTGGCCAGAGTGAGGTGGTACTGTGGATTGTAGGACTGCCTGTGCAGCCAGCCCTCCTTCCTGTAGGCCTCCTGCAGGCCTGAGTTCAGCTGGTGGAGGGACAGCCGAGGGCTGGGGCTCAGGTAAAGCACCTTGCCATTGAAATGCTTCAGCTTCCTTGGAAAGGTAACCGCCACGGGCGGGTTGCGATCCAGCTGGGCGAACCTGCGGAGGATCTCGGCTGCAGCTGCCACCTCGGCTGGGCCGTCAAGTACCAGGAGGCACAGGGTGACATGGAGCATCGAGGCGGCGTGCCAGTAAGGAGCAGAGGAGGGAAGGAGGGCAGTAAGCTCCTCCTGCAGCTGCTGGAAACTGGAGAGGATAGCAGGGGTGTTGGCCCGGAAGGTGATGAAGTGAGTGGGTTTTTTCTTTGGAGGACGACTGCCACTCTTCTGCTCTGCCTGCTTCAGAGATGGATTCTAAGGCGGAACAACAAAGCTGGGATAAATAAGTAAAAACTGTAACCATAATGTTGTCTGTCAGAGCAAGAGGCGCCATGCACACCTGCGTCTCTTTGCCGGCCTCTAAACTTTCTTCGCAGGCTTCATCAAGCTGCTCTTCTTCTTCCTCTTTCAGCTTCATGACCTTTTCCTGAAATGATGACTCTTGCTCGGATGATGGCTGGATTCTAAATTGCAGCCAGGAAAGTAGAGAGAATATACCCTTATTTAACATTGCTCCGTTGCATTTATTAAAATACTAAATTAAAATCACCTTGTCTGAATTCAAAGAAGTTCAGTGTCTTTTTACTACTTCAGAAAGGTTAGTAAGTAATAATTCTCTAAATATTAAAATGCAGGATTTCATTTTATTCAGTCTTTAAAGATCTGATATGAATCCATAAAGACGACTGGCATTAAGTACTTTTAATGAAATGAAGTAAACACATAGATTTTGTTAAGATGTAGGTTTTTCCATACTTGTTCTTTAAAGAGTTAAACATAAGACCCACAGTAGGAATAGATAACAGACCTATTTTCAGCCTCCTCTGCAACACATGATCCACAAGTTTCCTTTTGTTTCTGAGAAGCGGGAATCTCTTCCAGCTCCTCTTCATGCCTGGTTCTGGTAGGAGTTTCTCCCTCATCCTGACCACCTGCTGCACCTGTCTGCTCCTCTGTCTTTTCAGAACCAACATCTTGTTCTTCTTGATCCTCTGCATGGTTCTCCTCTGAAACAACGACCATTTTCAGTTAGGGTAATAGTGTAAATGTACAAAGCTTTTCAGGAGTGCTCATACAACTTAAAGTTCTCTATCATGCGTGCCATTAAAACTACAAACTTTAATGTGTGTATTGGGTTTTAATGTGACTGAAACGTGTGACTATTTGCAGTGAAATGAGAGGGAAATTAACATTTTTCAAATATTGTACAAGTGCATAAGGTAAGTCAGGAAGGGTGGGTATTTGCATTAAGCAGCTAAAAGTCAATACTTGGCACAACAACTTTCACTGCAAGTCTCTTGAGGTACTTTTTACCAGTTTTTCACCTTGGAGACAGAAATAGTTTGCTGCTTGTGTGCAAAAATTGTTTATTCTCTAAATAGGCAGTCTAACTGTTTCCTTAGGTCAGACTCAGAAGTTGATTTTGACTGGGTCGTTCTAACACATCAATACTCTTGAAGTTAAACCTGCACTGACTGTTTGTGGTGAATAGGGAGCAGAACCTGGTCGCTCTATATTCTTACATTCACCTATTGACAAAACATTTGGATCATAACCAAATGAACCAGATATCATAAGCTATTCAGGATACAACGCTGGCTGCTCCTAGAAGTACAGGGGGAGATGTATAGAAGTCTGGAATACCAGTACATTTCCAATCCCTGTAGCTCTGGCTGCATGTCTTCGTCCAGCTGGAGGCTGAGGCCTTTTTTCCCCCCCAGAGTATTGCTCTATACAATCACGTTGCATGAAATAAACTGAACAATAAAGCTCGTTTGGTAGATTAATTTAAAGAAAATATCATTGAAGCAAGCTGTAAATGTACTTTTAATTTAGCACAAATTTCTACAATATGTTGCACCTATATTAGTTAGACACAGAAAATCATAATTACCTGACTTTAAAACATTAGTCTCTCTGTAATTAATCTATACAATAACTCATAAATTTATTTATTGAATTGTTACTGAAATAAATCAACTTTGTATCAATATTCTAATTCATTAAACACGGTTGCATTTAGCTCCCTTCTCCTTCACAACAGGAATCAAACAGTTTTTTCTGCTGAGGAAAAGGATCCCAACAACATCATGCAACCATTTTTAGATGATAGATTCAATGTTCTCTGAGAGATGCTTAAAGCTTGGGACATTAATTTATTGCCATGCTTTAAACCTTACTAATGTTCTCCAGCAAATACTTCAAGGCTTTAAATCCAAGCTACACCTTTAAGATTAGTTCCTGCAATTATAGGTGTAGAAACTCTGTATCAGCTACACCATAGTGATCAACTTTATGGTGATCATTTGCATTATTTGACAAAAAAAAAGGTAGAAGAGGTAGTAGAGTTATGAATAATTGTGCATGACACATTGTTTTGCTAAATGGCAACCTACTCTCACCTTTTACTTCCTCCTCCTTTCCAAAGGGGGGAGCCAAAGATTGACCGGTGGAACCAAAGACCCTGTCAGTTCTGCTGTGTCGGTCCCAAACGTGGTGCCCTTTGTAGGCAAAGTATTGGATCCTGTGTCTGGGCAGAGCCAACTCAGTGGAGTAGTCACAATCACAGGGGTTGGTGTCCCAGTTGAATTCACAGAAAGGCCGCTCCAGAATGCCAAGGAAGCGATCTATGTAGCCCACCACAAAATCTGAAGCTTCTACTGATGGGTCCCACAGGATGCGAGAGATAACATCGTCAGCTGTGCGCATACGGGGCTTTTTGTTCACATCTGCTGGAGATAACTCAATCATTCCCACGCAAATAAAGAACAGTGAGACAAATAAAAACATACAAGTTTCTTCAGATTATATTGGGAATTATCAAATGAAAAAGTTAAGGTGAACAAATGAGGAATGACCTTTATCCTTGTTGTCTCTAGGCTTTGCCCCTTTGTTCACAGTGCCCTTCTTCTTGTTGTGTTTCTCCAAATTCTCTACATTCTGTTGGTCATCCATGTCAGCGGATGGTGCCGCCGATTCATATGGTGATGAGTCACTTTAAAAACAAAAGAAAAAATGTGCTCACGGAGGATGACAAATGACAAATGAAACTGGGGAGTGGCGGCCTAGTAGTTAGGGCATAGGGCTTTGAATCCTGAGGTTGTGAGTTCAATCCCCAACTCCCACAGACTGCCACTCTGGCTCCTTGAGCAGGACCCTTAACCCCGCACTGCTCCCCCAGGCACCACACAATGGCATCCCACTGCTCCCCAAGGGGATGGGTTAAATGCAGAGAAGTAATTTCCCTCTGGGATTATTAAAGTATAAAAAACAAAATAAAAACAAACAAAACGAAAGGGTTTGGAGACAAATATTAAATGTGACAGATCTAGATAGTCCCAATAACCTTCTCTAAAATTAATAAAACATAACTGGTAATATAAGGGTAATAAAAGTGATCCGAATCTAAGAAGTTTAATAATTAATGTTCTAATGAATTCCAAATTAGAAACTAAACAAACTAGAAATCAACTAAAACAGATAAATTATACAATAAAATTCAGCACAAAAAACTGAGTTTACAGAGTTTTTTTTTTTTTTAAGTCTTGAAAATAATCAACTAAATATAATATATTATTTCTTTTGGGACAGAAAAATGACCAGGGGAATAAAATGTACAATGCAGTACTCTACATGGAGTCTTTTTTCCCCTTACTCAGAGATTTGTTAGATTAATATCCAACTTCCTGTCTCTCTTATTTGTAGGACTTTGACCTGCCTATAACAGTTTAACCAAACTCCTTTTTCAACTCTCTGCTGGTCATCTTTGACCTAAAGCAGGAAGGAAACGTCTCTGAATAAAAAAACATTTTCACAGTTTTAAATAAATCAAAATAAGTAAAACATTTAGGATCCTATATTAGCTATAACTGTATATGAAAGAGAAAACATCTTTAAATGACTACTATCAGTGTTGTTAATATCTAATGAAAACTTTATGCTCTCATATCTGGAGATTTCCTTTAAAGCAGTGCTTCCCAGACTTGTCTCGCCGGACCCTTCTTGTTGCGACGGATAACATGAAGATAGCAAACCTGTGTGATAAACGGCATTTGCTTCCGAACCGGCACTTTCCCATCTGGAAAAACTGGCACACTTTTGATTCCTCCTTCTGCTCTGCAGACTCTATGAATAAGATCGACATTAAACAAGACAGGGTGAGGATGTGCTGTTAGGTTGATTAAAAAGGCTTTGGGCTCTGCATGTAAACACGCTGGCAGACATTGTTGCTGAAAGGTCACTGAACGTGATGATTTAGCTTTAGAAAACAAACAAGAGATGCACATGCTGTTCAGCTGTTTTAAAGTAAAGTGAGAATACCTCTCTAACTAAGCAGAAGATTAATTAACCAGGCAAAATGAGAGCCTAAATATGCTAAAACCAGTATTTTCTGAGCATTTATTGTAGTTTAAATGTTTCTCTAATTATCACTTGTACACAACAAAGATTCTAACATGAAAACATATCATTTTTTTCCCCCCTCCGATACCTTGAGAGGGCCTACAGTTTAACAGCTGGGAATGATTCAAACATGATGAATGAAGAGTATGTAGAGAGGTCACACCAAACGCATATCCTGATGTTTTACTTTTGGGAAGGGACTGAATGTAACTCACAGCTCAGTTACCTTAACTATTGCTGTTCTGTCTTTAGGAGAATTGGGCTGACCCCAGCTGGACAGGAAGCATTTGACCTGATTCCAGTTATCAGAAAATCCGGGAAGTAACAGGTTTTTTTTTTCTGTTTTACTTGTTCTTCAGAAGTTTTATCTGGATTGAAAGTAATGGACTCAGATGTTGAAGCAGACCGTATGATCTCTCATCCTTTGGGAGACAGAGGCTTGAGCTTTGAGTCACTGAAGCCAGGAACTGCCCCAGCAGAACATTCTGTCAGGAAGTGAGAAAATATGTCTGCAGCCGTTACATCAAAAATCAGCTGTCTGTGTCAGTATTAGAGAATCTGGACTCATGATGACATAGCTTAACTGGAATCCCAGCTGCTGAGGGTGAAAGTTGGAAAACAAGCTTGTTTTTCTTTCTGAAATGGTGATTAGTTGGAAAAGTAGATAATACAGCTCCTTTATTGCAGCTCAACACACACTAAAAGCTTTGTGCCAAAACTAATAACGTGCACATGAATGAAGAAAATATAAAAAGTTAGTTATCAAATATACATCCCAACAATTTATCACGATATTTTGACATTTTTGGTTGTACCTATATGTGCCAAAAAAACAGCTAAGGTTACTTGGATGAAGTTAAGTCTAGCTTTTCATCTAAACCAGACTTTGTCTACAAAATCAGATGCAAGAAGAAAAAAAAAAACAAAAAAAAAAAAACATAATTTTCTCAATACCATGGTTCAATTTCCTAAGTAAAAACATGATGTTTTCTTTCCTGATTTAACAAAATAAACAGACAGTCCCTACATATTGTTTTACAGCCAACCCACTATTGAGAACATTTCTGACAGAAAAAAAAACTTTATTTATAAATGGCCAATTTGATCAGAAAAACTAAAATCAAATAGTGATACTAAAATCTCTCCATACTGGCTGACTGTCAAATTAGTCTGCCAAAGAGACAGATTTCCCCCCCCCCCCCCCCTTTTTTTTTTTTTCCCTCCAGTTTTGTCAAGTACAACTCACTTTTACTATTTTAAATACGCTTGACTGGTAAAAAGGAACAACTTTCATGTAAAAGATGTATAAAAAAGCTATCCAGAAAAATGATAACAGAATTTGACTTGTTTGATCAGATTGTCAACATGTTTTATTGATTCGTGAATTCATATCATAGAGGCATACCCAGTAAAAACTAATCTCTCTCATAAAAAAATAAATGTCTTATCACTGCACTAACTATGGCTTTCCACATGTTTAGAGTAAATATTTATTGTTCCAATAAAAAAGAGCCAAATCAGGGAAAGCAGAGGCCAGTAGCAGTGGATGATGGTGAACGGTCTTCAAGGATAAGAAGAGGTTGTAAAAGATTTATCTGCAAGCAGAAACCAAGCTAAATATGTTTTTTAATGGGAGATAAATCAATGTTTATGGGATATACATTAGCCTATAACAGAAACATACATATATTCCATTCAGCTTTTAGGTTCTACAGTTCTTGCTACATTAGCATCACAGTTATTAAACTATATACAGTCATATGAAAACGTTTGGGCACTCCTATTAATGTTATTATTTTTATTTCTAAATATTTGGGTGTTTGCAACAGCTATTTCAGTTTGATACATCTAATACCTGATGGACACAGTAATACTAATTGATTGGACTAACAGAAAATGTGTAGTACGCAATAAAACTAAATTTGAATAACATATTTAAGTTCCATTATATCTATACACATATTTATTTACATACAAATAAAACTGTAACTGCCTGTGTTGCTTTATTTTACACTGTGTGCAGAATTATTAGACAAATGAGTATTTCAACCACATCATCCTTTCCATACATGTTGTCCTACTCCAAGCTGTATAGGCTTGCATCTCTGTAATGAGAAGGGGTGTGGCCTAATGACATCAACACCCTATATAAAGTGTTCTTAATTATTAGGCAAAATGGGTCAGAAAAGAGATTTGACAGACTTTGAAAAGTCAAAAATTGTCACATGTCTTTCAGAGGTGGCAGCAGTTTGGAAATTACCAAGCTTTTGAAGCGGGATCATCGTACAATCAAGCGGTTCATGGCAAATAGCCAACAGGGGCGCAAGAAGCGTGTTGAAAAAAGAAGACGTAAAACAACTCCCCATGAATTGAGAAGGATTAAGCATGAAGCTGCCAGGAAGCCATTAGCTGCCATATTTCAGAGCTGCAACATGTCTGGAGTGCCGAGAAGCACGAGGTGCTCAATACTCAGGGACCTGGCCAAGGTAAGGAAAGCTGAAAAAAGGCCACCTTTGAACAAGGCACACAAGACAAAACGTCAAGATTGGGCCAAGAAATATCTGAAGACTGATTTCTCCAAGGTGTTTTGGTCTGATGAAATGAGAGTGAGTTTTGATGATGGGCCAGATGGATGGGCACCAGGCTGGATCAGTAAAAGGCAGCAAGTTCCTTATCAACTCAGATGCCAGCATGGTGGAGGTGGGGTACTGGTATGGGCTGGTATCATCAAAGATGAGCTTGTGGAACCTTTTCGAGTTGATGATGGAGTCAAGATCAACTCCCAGACCTACTGCCAGTTTCTGAAAGACCCCTTCTTCAAACAGTGGTACAAGAAGTTACCGCCTTCATTCAAGAAAAACATGATATTCATGCAGGACAATGCTCCGTCACACGCATCAAAATACACCACAGCGTGGCTGGCCAGAAAGTCTAAAAGGAGAAAAAATAATGACATGACCCCATTGTACACCTGATCTGAACCCCATCGAAAACCTGTGGTCCTTCACGAAATGTGAGATCTACAGGGAGAGAAAACGGTACATCTCTCTGAACAGTGTCTGGGAGGCTGTGGTGGCTGGTGCAGGCAATGTTGATCGCAAACAGATCAAGACAGTGATAGAATCTATGGATGGAAGGCTTTTGAGCGTCATGGAGAAGAAAGGAGGCTATATTGATCACTGATTTGTTTTTTGTTGTTTTTGAATATCACAAATGTTTATTTCTGAATTTTGAGTCATATCGGTTTACCTGGTGAAAATAAACAAGTGAGATGGCTATATATTTTCATGTTGCCTAATAATTCTGAACAGTAATATTTACCTGCACACACAGACCTCCTCATAAAATGGCCAAAAAAAAAAAAAAACAATCTACTTCCAAAAATATGTAACTTTTATATAGGAGTCTTTTGGGTTGATTGGGAAAACGATTGTGGCCCAATAATAAAAATGATCCTCAAAAATACAACTTACCTAATACTTTTGCACACAGTGTTTATTGATACTTCACTATTTTTTTTTTTTTTCACATCCAAGCTGGAAAATCTCCCTAGATTTTGTCTCAGATCTGGTCAGCTGGGTTTGAAGGTAAGAAGAAACGGCAAAATGTGAACTTTGATTATACTTTTTTGACTGTAAAGGCTTGTAGAGACTATAGTTAAAACGTTTTATGAGATGCAGGGGGGGAAAAAAACCTTCGTTTGATTAACTTTTTTTTTTTAAGAATGATACCGAATAACCTGAAGGAACAGTATAAATAAACTTTTACCCATTGTGTCTCGGTCAGTTTCAAGAACAGCATTACTTTCCTGTGAGTCTGTCAGGGTGATGGGCGTCAAAGAGCTCCCATCTCCGTCCCTCTGGTTCTCCGTACAATTTAAGGCAGCACTTGGGCTTTCTGACGCCATTTGTAGATCTGGGAGGCTTTCTGATGGCTTGTTGACGTTTGCCAGTAAAGGGGTTGTGAAATAAACTGACTCCGCTACCTGGACACCTTGGAAAACAAACACGGAAGTGAGTAGTTAGCGATCCACTGCTACAACTGACCCATCCGGTTTTATATATATATATATAAAAACATATGTATGCAAATCAAAACACTCATACGCAAAATCTAAGAAAGCGTAGAGTAAAAAACATCTATAAATAATTAAATATATAAAATATAAGCCAAAATAAATATAAAATACCAATGTTTGTATCTATCGTTCCCGGATCCATATATTTTCGAATTGAATCATGGGTAATGTAGTCTTTTTTAAAAACAAGGAAGCAAGGTAAATTTATAGCTGAAAATTCAACGTTATAATAAATAAATAGATAAAAAACAGAAAAACGAATATATGGTGCTCTTCTGTTTCCAATTATTTGGAGAAAACAAATATGCAATTTAGTCTCCAGAGTTTTGACGCTGTGAACTATGCGTCATTCTCCATTGGCGAGCGCGTGCCTCGGTGTCACGTGACTTCTCTGTTGTTTGCTAACATCCCCGTGAAACAGGAACGGAGAAGTATTGAACTTGCCTTCTTTTTTTACTGTCGCTAAATGTTTTTTTTTTTGTAAAAACATTTAAGAGAAGCTATTTCCTTACTATTAATTATAATTTAAGCGTCTTGGAAAAACTTTTAAGCAGCTAACGTTCAGTGAGGCAGCTGTTGTTTAGCTCAATATGCTGTGAAGGTAAATTCTGTGTTGTGACAACATATTGATAAGTATATCTTTGCAAAGTCACTTAGTCGCTTGCAACTAAAATAAACGGCTTTATGTTAATTGTACAACGCGAAACTGTCATTTCATAGATTTGAATATAAATGTTTTTGTTTTTAGATGAACGCGCTGGTGGCTTTGTGTCATTTCTGTGAACTCCATGGCCCCAGAACACTGTTCTGCACCGAAGCGCTCCACCCTCCATCACCAGACCCTACTTCTCAGGTGGGGACCCCGTTGCCAGGCGACAGGGATGCTGATCGGGAGGGTGAAGGCCTGACCATGAGGGCCAACAGTTCTGCTACACAGAGAGGAGAGATGTGTGAAGTGAGTGGACTGAAAGGACACAGAGTTAACTACGCTATTTAAACCAGCTGTTATTTTAAGTTCAATTCTCTCTATCCTCTTTCTACTCTTCCCAGGGTTGCCGATCTCTTCCTTCATCTCATCCCGGCTTTGTGAGCATCGATGAAGAAACAGGCATTCGCTTCTTGAGCCATCAGCATCCCAGGCAGTCCCAGCTTTTCAGTGTGGTCAGGCAGGCCTGTGTACGCAGTCTTAGCTGTGAGGTAAACTAACCTAAAGAACCAAGAGCTAAAATACCTTGAAATGAATTCCCAAGAAATTGACAAACCTTCACGCCAAAATTTTAACTCCTTAGGTAAAAAATATAGCAATTAAATCATTTATAGAATGTAAGGTAATGTGAGCATCACAGTGAATCAATCAATATGAATATTCTGCCCCAAGAATACTAAAGTCATGGAAAAAAATATTAGATCTACTTGTTGGGTTCATTAATATATTGTTTTACGTGTTTAATACCTAGAGAATACTGTTAAAAATAAGAAAATTGTGTTCTATTTTGTTTAACCATACCTCCTCAGCTATAGTACAAGGTGGAAGGACAGCCTTTATGGAATTGCTAACACAAGCAGGTAGCGTAGTAGTAGCTCAATCCTAATTAGATTTTTTTTACCTGGACTAATGTTTTTAAAATAAGGTTAGAAAGGTCATTAGGCATTGCTCACATAAAAGAAATATTGCAATGGTGCGGAAATGGTTGTTACTTGTTACTAGAGGGTTGTTGTTGGTTTAAAGAATTGTTTGCCAAAGTTTGGGCCTTCGGGTCCTCTAAATTAGTTAAACTAAACATCATAGGTTATAGTGGTTGTTAGTTGCAGCCCTAATTTTCCAACTGGATCCCCGCTCTTTTTTGCCCTTGTGTCACTCTTTTGTCACACAAACTTGCCCCCACTTCCGTATCTAGACCCACAGCTAGTTCGTGATTGTCCCACTTGCGTTGTGCCGTGGAACAACATAGTGTAGACCACGCTTCAAAATGGGCATCTGCGACAAGCTCACTGAGACACATGCTGCGGGAGTATAGCCAGCTCTTTACACAGCGTTCTCAAAGTTGGGGCCTTGTTATTCTTAAAGAATGTGTAGCTCAGCAGTAGGTTGATTAACAAAACAAACAAGAAATAACTAACCTAAACAGAAAATAAATAAAGAGCAGCAACTCTTTCTTAAATACCTTGAAAAATGACTAAAAGGTCTGAACCCTTGGAGGCGTGATGTAAAAAAATTCTGTTTCTAATCATTCCATGAAATTAGTTTTAGTTCTTGTACATTTTTTTAGGTAATCTTATTCCAGTTCCTTTGTTTTCAGGTGTGTCCTGGTCGTGAAGGGCCCATTTTTTTCGGTGATGAGCAGCATGGATTTGTGTTTTCGCATACCTTCTTTATCAAAGACAGTCTGGCTAGGGGTTTTCAGAGGTGGTACAGTATAGTTTTGGTGGCCATGGACAGGATTTACCTTATCAATTCCTGGCCGTTCCTTTTACGTCACCTCAAGCTCACTATACACAGTCTGCAAAGCACGGCTTTAAAGGTAGGGCATTAATTTGAACATGCAATACTAATGAAAACAAACAAATACATTTGCCTAATTTTTCTCAGAAAATAATCTTTTTTTTTCCCTATCAGGTGTTTGACAGTGAACAAGGAGTTTGTCCACAGAGAGCTCTTAGGATGAACAGTGTATTCTCCCCTGCAGTTTTCCCCCACCAGAGGAGTGGCAATGCAGCTCGATCACTGACCTCCCTCACCCAGCACCCCAACCTCTGGGCTAGTTTGCACTGTTCTTTTAGCTGGTGATTTAATAACCAACCAAACTCTTATCTCACCATAACAGAATTTATTTTCTTATAATGCTAACCATGTAACTGTGTTTCCTTTCTTTTTCCCAGGTTGCTAAAAGCTAGTGGTAGTCGCCTAACAGAGAAGCTCCTCGAAGGGGCCCCCACAGAGGACACACTGGTGCTTATAGAGAGACAAACAGGTATACATGTTTACATCAATCAAAAATAGTTATTTTTACCAACCTGTTAAATGTGTTATAATCATTTTATATCTGAGAAAGAAAACGAGAAGAAAAAGAATAGAGCCAGCAGGATGTGATAAAAGATTGGCCTGGTGATAGATGGTACCGTAATAGTCGGCGCCACATGTTTTGTTAGTGTGTTGGTTTTCCCGTTTTAAAGTCTGAAAACACTTCTTAAAAAGTCTGAGTCACTGAATGTTTCAGTGCAGGGTCGCTGCAGCCAGTAAAACCATGACAACACTTATACCTCGCCTTTTCCAGGCAGCTCCTACATTATTTTAATCCAGGTCTAGACAATTACACTCTTTCAAGGGGTTAGTCTGTAAAAAATAAGACCCTGTACCTCAATGAGATTTTAACATTTAAAGAAATCAAGACAAATGTATTTGATTCACCTCATCACACAGATTTTAACATTTTACCCATTTGTTTTATCTTTTTTAGTCTTTTTCTTAATGACTCAATGCACACAAATTCAAAAATTATATAAAGTTCTTTTCAACCTGAATTTAAATCTTAGTTGTGATCATTAAAGATATTGTGGATGATTTTCGCGAATTTTAAAAAAATTACTAAAAATCGAATTTTAATGCTAGGGCATGCACAAGCCCATTTCCCGTCGTGCACATTCTGTTTAAAAGTTGCTGTTCTCTTAGCTCACTCAAGCCCTAACCCCTAATTCTCTCAATCACTAAATAGAGAGGGGACTATATAGTGGACTTTATAGCGAACTCAGCTAACTTAACCGTTCAGACAGATGATCACTGCTCCACTGCACGGTGCCGGCGCCATCTTTATTATTAGTCACCACCGCTGTCAGGTAGCAACAGCAGGCTGCTGTGACAGGAAATCAGAGAATGCTTTTTGAGGATTTACCATTTTCAAAGAACTGAGGTGAAAAAGGTGAGCTCCAATGACTGTCTGAAACCGTAGCCCATCACACATATACGTCTGAAAGTATATATAAAGTATATATAAAGTAAGACAAAGATAGCCAACTGGACGAGCACGTACTGTAGGATGGCTTTACATAAACGTATCACCAGAATGATTGACAATTAGAAGGAACACTTATTTTAGATGATCCACCCGGAAATAAAAGATTCTCCTCTATACTTTTAAGCCAGGTCTAGTTAAAACAGTAAATGGAACAGAACAGTGATCAGTTTTGGAAATTTGATTGCTTTTACACAATGCTGTGTGAACATGCTCTTTCAGAAAGAAGAGAGGAGTTATTCTATTATCTGTTGAAGGGAGATTGCAAAAGATTAGTAACTGGACCAAAGGTCTACCATCCATTAGGAAAAAACATGCAACCAAAGCCATAGTGGAATGGTTTCTTGTATGTATTACAATGGCTCTGGCAAAATTTAGATTTCAGTCTGTAGATGTGCAAACGTGTTACAAACATAGCCAAAAATGTGCTTCTTCAAAGCTACAATTCAAATATTTTTGAAAACTATGGAAGTCTTCCCTTCACTTTAAGATTATCACTTTTTGTTAGTTTACGAGCTTGAGTGTTTAAAAGCATTTTAAATACAATAGAATGTAGTCGGGGGAAATTTGCAAACTTCACTGCTAGTTTTGATCTCTCCTTTGTTTCCCCCTGGATGATAGAGATTTGCCGCCCCTTTATCACACACAGCTGGACATGCACATTGATTGATCATTCCATCTAGACAAGTACTCAGGTACACTGTTCGCAGTTGGAAGTACTATCTTTCTTTGTTTTCACAGTTGGGGCCAGATGAGGGCAACAGTAAAGTTATTATCACCAAGATGGTCAAATTTTAGCTTCTCCTAAATTGTTTTACCAATTAAAGTTGTAGGGAAACGGTTGTTCCAATCGTTGCATTTCCGACTTCTCCCGAGGGATGCACGACTTTACACGGGTGAATAAAGTGAATGTGATTGGTCGTTTATCAAAAGAGTGGGATTGTTGTGGCGGAAGGTTCACAAGTAAGTGTGATTGTAGCCGGTGTCTCGGAAGCATCTTGCTAACCAGTTAGCAACTCAGTGCTAGTAGATTCCCAATGGGAAATTACATTAGACCGAGTAGCACTTAATTGGTGACTTAGAATCAACACTGTCAAGGAACGCTATGGACAGCAGAAATATGCAAGAGGAGGAGAGTTTTGTGTCGGAGGTCGTGGATGAGTCTCCTCTGTCATACATTTTTATTTAGAGGAGGAAAGCGGGAACGATGTTGTTGTGGTAGAGGACGCCAGGGCGGCAGAAGCTTGGTTTAGTCTAGAAGGCTCACAGCCGTACATGTTTTAGCCCTTTCCTCGCAATGCTGCCAGTTCTGTTAGCTCTATGCCTGCCGAAGAGACAGACATCCATCCCTGTAAACACCGGGATGTAACATAATGGTAAAGTAAATTGTTCTTATTTCAACCGTTGCGTAAATTAGCTGCGACATATGAAAAAATTAGATTGGCAGGGACCGTTGATATATGATTGGCCCAATTTAGGTGTACATGCTGATGTATAACTAACTGGCCTGCATAAGATAACGGGAAAAAAAACCCAGATTTTAAGAAAGGACTTTTTTTTAAATAGAATTTTCTAACTTTTGGGACAATATCCTCTGATAAAGAGTACATTTATATACATGTTTAAGCCAGAATGATTTGAAATTTAGATATGATTTCCCTACGACTATAAAGATTGCTAACTACAGCTTGACAAAATATTGATGTTTGTAGAGATTCAGCAACATGTACAAATTAATTTGAATGTAGGCCAAGTTATCTCATTGTTTAAGTTGGCACTTCTGCATATGTTCTGCCTTTTTCAATAAGTCTGCTGGCTGTAAATTATTTGGAAAACTCAAAGTCTGTGCCCATCCACAGACACACAAACATGTCTCTTTCTTTGTGGGGCCTTTCCATTGACCTCCCTTCATTTCTATACCATTTCTGCAGCCTAACCATCACACTTAGACTTAGACAACTTTCATTTTCATTTTGTACACACAGAGTGTATAAAAAATTACATTTTGTTTAGTACATCTTTCCAGATAGTAAATGAACATTTCCATTCCATAAAGTGCAGCAATGATCAAATGTAAACAGTTTGGGAGAACAAAACCGGTGCACCCTAAACCTAACCATTACGTGTTCATACTCATCCCGAAACCTAAAGTCAATTCACACCATAGTCCTAAACATGACCCCTGACCCTAAAACGGCAATTCGCCTCATGGGGGTCCAGGTCTCGGGCCCCACAAGGAGCCGTCAGTCCCGACAAGGTGCTATTTTTCCAGAAAAGGTGCCACACAATGTATCAGATACAAGAATATGCACACAGAGAAATCAGTCACCTAATTACATCTGAGCTCCATGCCTCTCTGGGAGCTTTTTATTGACCAAATTATATTCCTGATCTGTTCCTTTTAAGTCAATACAGACAATTCAGATTTTATTTGTTGTTTTTATTACATTGCCTTTTTTAGTAGTCTTCATCACAATATTTTTTACAAGGGTATAATTCCTCTGATTATGAAGCAATCTAAAAAAAAAACCTTTAAAAAGGGATAAAGTCTACATTGGTACTGTCAGATAAATAATTAAATCAATTAAAATGCTCTACAATCACTTGAGTGATCAAAGCACTCACATGTCTCAATTGATCTTCTGTGCTTTGAAAGCACTTTGGCCTTTTTTCCTGATAGCATCTCAGTAATCCTTTTAATTTTACTTTCTATGTAAAAATAGAATCATTAGTAAGAAATTAATGACATCAGTACCAAAAAGTTATGAAAAGATGATCAGGGTTATGGAGGGGAACTTTGGGCATTCACGTCTTGGATTAACACAGGAGGTCTTTATAGTTTTTTCAGTATGTGTCAGCATTCTTTAATACCTCAGAACTGAGCTGTCCAGTAAGCACTAAATAAACCTGTCAGCTGTATGGTTTCTTTTATGGGTGAAGGGTTGTTACAGTAACAGGTTGGAGAAACATAGCAGACTATTTATTCTTGTCTCTAAACAAACTCTGGGAATTATGAATTATTTTCCTTGGTAATATTACTCACCAGAAAAGATTTATATCCATGTAATCTTTTGTTTTTTTTTTCCTTTTTCTTTTTTTTTAAGCAACAAATCGGACCCTATCAAATTACATAATCGAGTCTTTGAGAAGGGCAACCCTTAGTGAGCTTAATATGTACCAAGTGCTGTAAACTGACCTGAAAAAGAATGTAATAGATCTCAATTTTAGCTAATACTTAGGTGAGAAGTTACGTAGTGCAACTTTAAAATACAAAGCAAAGTTTTGTTTCAATATTTAGAATTTTTTTAAGTTTCTTTAATCATTCAGATTAAAGCAAAGTCATTCTTAAATAAAAAAAGGCCATGGTTGTATTTCGCAATGCACCAGTCAGTCAGCAAGAGAACTGAATTAGCTTTACTCTACCCTTGGTTGCCTCTAGACTAAGGTAAAATAATGAAACATCGTTTTCAACTATTTAATGAATGCATCAAAACTCTACAATTCTCTCCTTTGTCACTATAAATGCATCCACAGTATATGCTTCGATAGGTTGGAAAAAATGGCCAGTTATCAAGGTTGAAATGTTTTTTTTTGTTTCCTTAATCGAAAAAGGACATGCAGCACATGTTGTTTTTTGTGTTACAGGTGATAGAATATGAAAATGTTATAGACAGCTCAGACTTCTTTAAAAAGAATCATGAGTGCAATTATAGTCCGAAAATCAACTCAATGTCTCAAACAAAGTAGGATCGGGTTTTGCTATGATGCCAAGTAAAGCATAATGTTTTAAAAAAACTATGAAAAAAAAAGAAAGGTATTATAGATAAAAACTGTGCTTTAAATGCTGCATTCTTATTTAAAAGGTATAAGAATTATTTATGTTTATTTATATATACATATTTATGTACATTTGTTAAAGAAGCAGTATAAAAACTACGCTTTGACACTGTTAAATCTGAAGCCAACCTCTGCATTGTACTGTCCAGCGATCTATGAAAACATCAGGCAACAAAAAAAAAAAGGAAAACTGAAAGAAGTCTTAGAGCTGAAAGACACTCGATAGATTTTTCACTGCTTAAGCGAAAAAAAACAACATGGCATAACCACTTAGGTTGTCAGAATTTAATCCACAATAATTTTTGTAAACAACCTTTCTCTGTGTGAATCACAAACATTATATGCAGAAGATATTTAATCTGAAGTAAATTACCCCATAAGGGTATGGAAGATTTAACGACAGTAGCTTGACCACAGGTAGGTTTTGTTTAGTCATCAACACAGAGAATGATGGAAAGCCCCCGTAATGATGGAAAGCCCCCTTTGTTATTGTAGTGTTAAAGACATGAGAAAGTTGTGTAGGTGAAAACACCAGCAGCACTGTTGCTGAGAGTAAAAGGTCTACTAATCTGCACTGTTGTTGAAAATGTTATGATGAAAGATTTTGAAATTGAACTTGTGATGGTGATGAGAGGTTACTGCTGGAAAGAGAAAATAGGTGGAATCATGTGCACAATTGCAATTGATGCATTTTGTAAGACTTCCAGTTAAAAATAGCTTCTGTTATTTTGGATCACATATTCTTTTTGCCTCTCTTAGAACAAGAAGAGGAAATGAGCTGCTGGGAAGGAGCAGAAGGTGGCGGATCAAAGTCACCACTACTTCAACCAGACGGCAAACTGGGCCTGGAGTTCCTCTGTGATGCTTCAAAATTAGAAGATTTACCTGGTCCGAAATTTAGATCACTAAGACATTTGAGACAGGTAGACATCTATTTTCATCATCCTAATGTGTACGATAACACCACAAAACTGAAAACACACACAAAAAAATGTTGACATGTACAATAGACATTTTCTGAATTTTCTCTGAAGGTCCTTGGGGTGAATGACTTCCGACAGCTAGCATGGCATGTGCTTATGGGAAATCAGGTCATATGGAGGAGTGCAGATCCTGGACTCATACAGTCGGCCTTCACTGTGCTAAAGGTACTCTGTTTTTGAACATTAAACCACAGTACAATAATGTAAAGATAATAATAGCTTCCTCTTTTAAATCAACTCAAATAACGTATTAACATACTTTATATGATTAACATAAAGTATTCAGTATTTGCTATTTGCCTCTACACATTTTATATTTTTGGATCAACCACTGACACTCAGTCACAGATTGGTTGCCAACTGTTGGTTTATGAAAAAGTTTGACCTACTGATATCACATTCTGATTCTGTCTTTATTTTTTTTTTTAGAAATGTTTAGATATAGTAAATGTATAGCCTTCCTGCTCTGAGGATTCGTTATCTAAATAAATCAGGAGAGTAGCCAACATCAACCAGTGTCTTTAATAGATCATCCACTGTAAATATTGACCTTGGGAGTCAATGAAGTTGGGCCAGATACTTTTGAATCCTTTCTATTTATTAATTCATTTCAATTAATGTGGCTTTGTTCTTACAAGTAACTCCATGCAGTCTGCTATCAGATTCCAAAACACCGAGGGAAGCTGTTGGATTTTGGTGACAGTGCATTGTTGCCAGTTGTGCTAGACCTCTAACCTGGAAGTTAGAGGTCTAGTGCCCCTAGTGGCAGAAAGTTACACAGTTTTACCTTAATCAGTGCATCACTTCTTTCTAATCCAGTCCAATTTATCCTCTGAACCTTTGTGCTCTTGTTAGTCTTTGCTGCCAGTGGGCTGTGTGCGCTCTGTGCCATACAGTGCCCAATATGAAGAGGCCTACAAATGCAACTTTCTGGGTCTCAGCCCTGATGTTCCTATTCCTGTCCACGTCAGTTCCTCAGGTACAACACAAACACTTGATGTCAGCTCAGCAGTTCAGTAGGACCACTTTGGCATACGTTTGTAAGGTCTGCTCTGTTTGTCACATAGAGTTTTCAGTGCTGGTGGACGTCACTTTGAAGACCTGTCAGGGTATCGCTGCAGGTGATGATGATATCTGTGCTCTTTATCAGTTCACCATCAGCAGCGCCAACACCCAGCCGACAGACAGAGGTCAGTCACTTATATGTTTTAAGTTACAGAAAGGATGACTAAACTAATAAAATATTAGCTATGCTGGTTCTGAGCACAATGTATCATTGTTCTTTTTATTGATTGTCCTATTTTTTCTTTATTTGCTTGTAAAATGTAGAGAGAACAACACTAAACTCTGAGCTCCATCTAAAGAAGCCAATAGTTTATTCAAAACAGCAGTGTGATGTTTAATAAAATTAGGACTGATTATAAAGTCATTTTAATGAATAAAAATACTTTTAATTTCTTAATTTATTTCAGTAACTTTATTCACAATTTTTGATCACAACTAATACAAACATTTTTAGACTACGGTAACTATAAAACTACTAGAGAGTATAAATTTAAAGGGCTCAGATTAATTTCACTTGATTTAAATATCATTTTGTAAAGCTTTGACATGCTGTTACCCATTTAATCTGATTCTGATCTGTAATTAACAGCAGAGTTTAACATTGATTTAAAAGCCTGTAACTGTTAAAACTGTTAATTTTCTGTAGTAAATATATGTTTCTCAAATGCTTAGTGTCAGATCCGTCACTATCTGCATTACTGCAAATCTATAAATACATAAAAGTCCTGTTTAGGGGGCAGAGGCACTTTACACATAAAATCCTCTCAAAAAAGTCAAAGCTGATGTCCTTTACTATTTCATGAGATGATATGTAGCTAACTGCTAACAGCCAGAATTGGACACCCTAAATCAGGGATGAGTAAATCCAGCCCTCAATGGGAAGTGTCCTCCAACTTATGGATTCATTCTTGGACCAAAACACCTAAATCAAATGACTGAATTAGCTCATCAGTATGTAGTCAATTTTACAATTATGCAAAATAATTTAATATAATCACAATTTCCCAAAACACAAATATCAAATCTCAAAGACAATCCTTTAATACAAGACTGATTTTCTCTCTCCAGCCCTTTAGGTGGCAGTAATACATTAAAGTGGGTTTGCCCCACACACAGAAGGAAGGGAGCGTAGCAGCTAACACGCAGATTACTCTATGCGGCTAGAACTACGTACTTTTCAACACAACAGCATCACAAAAATAAATTTGCAATCGCAGACTTTTTTGAGGAAAAAAAAAAAAGATTTTTTAGGTGATCTTTCAGCTATAGTAAATTTAAGCTTTGCTGTTATATGTTCAGCCTTCTTGGTGACTACAAAGGAAAAGTATGGTGTCCTTAATCTTACAACTGTGTTTCATTTCACTTTATGTCTAAACATCTTAGCAATGCTCTCAGGTGGGTTCTCACAGCAACAATGTAGAGCAAGCTGGCAGCAACTAAACATTGTGCTTTCCCCGAACGGAAAAAAGTTCAGTTCAGTTTTGTTTTTAATTGGAATATCAATAGTCTGGCCAGTCACAAAATCTTTCTGTTTCTTTCTATTTTTTGGTACACCTTTGTTATTACCAGTAGACACTGTGCAATGGGCCGTCACAGAAAAGATTTTAGGAAAAGTGTCAAGATCTTTGTTTGAACAAGTTCAACTACCTGTATTGTTAGCTTCCTGAGATAAACTCATACACGGATTCGTTGTCTCCTGATTATCCGGGTCAGGGTCATGGGGGCATCAGCCTCAACAGAGAGTCCAATGACTTCTCTCTTCACAGACATCAATTCATCAGCTCCTTTGGTTAATGTAAGAGGTGTCCAAGGGCCAATGGATTATGTATCCCTGATATTGTTGTTTCAGTTAAGAGTCAGATTACATGACCATTTGCAAGGGCAGGAACGTGGACCAACTGATAAATCGAGAGCTTTGTCTTTTGGCTCAGCTCCTTAATTTTACCACAACAGGCCAGTGCATCCTCTGCACACTAGTGCAGTATCCACATTATGCCAGTGCTCTGTCTTTCAATCTCCTACTTCATTCTCCAACATACTTGAACTCCCCCACTTGAGGCAGGAGCATTCCTACAACCTGAAAAGGGGAATTCATATTTTTCTTTTTTAGATCCAGACTTTGAGAAGCTTATTCCCATCCCGGCCACTTCCCACAAAGCTGTAAACTGCCCAGGCACGTGCTGTCTTAGCAGGAGTAAGACAGTAAAGCCTCATAATTTGCAAAAGGCAGGGTCGATATCTGATGGCCCCCAAACCAAACACCGCCACCCCTTGGCTGCTAGATATCTTGTCCATAAAAGCATGAAAAGGACGAGTGCCAGGGGAGTTGTACAAGGACCAGATGGACCGTAGAACAGGGCCACCGACTCGGCGCTCCTAGATCACCCAGACAGGGTAAAACAGGGTAAAAAATCCAGTGAGCGAACTACAATGAACCCTTGAGCGCCCCGTATAGGGTTTTGAGCTGGTCCACTGTTCCATGGCCGGAACACTGCAGAAACCATACTCCTGGCAGAGTGGTCCAACAGCCTGGAGCTGAGGTTTGATAGTCAGCCAAAGCCTCCTCTCCAGTTCCCTGGCATAAGCCTTCCTGAGGAGGCTGAGCGGGGTGATCAGTGTTACAGCTGGTGATCTGTCAGATGAGCATACCCCATCAGACCAGCATACCCATAGTCAATATGCATGCACAAGACATCAGATTTGCATTTATCCCTTTTTTTGTACAGAAAATAGACTTTAAACTACCTCAACGGGCGTGTATCCCTTTAGTCATGTACAAAAAAAATCTGTTTAAGATCAGATCACCATACGCCAAACGGTAAAACACCAAACGGTTAGTAATTTCTTTGTACATGGCTAAAGGGTTACATGCCTGTTGAGGTAGTTCTAAGTTTGTTTTTCATAAAATCTAAAGCGATAAGCTAAATACATAAACTAAAGGGATAAACTGGTATTGACTATGTGTATGCTGGTCTGATGGGGTATGCTCATCTGATAGAACACCGGGTTTAGGAGATCCTCAAAGTACTCTTACTATTGGCTTCTAAAACGGGCACAACAGACCTTATGGCCACAGCTACTGGTGGCTGCTTGGCAACAGAGAATACGGTCAACTCAGATTCTACATCATCAGCCTCCACCAGAATCAGAGAGAAGCTCTCCTGGATGTGGGAAGTGAACACGTCCCCATTAGTTTTAAGTCAAATGTGCATGTCCTTTTGGTTGCTGTCATATTCGGAGGTCACCATGGAGAATACTTACCTAACCAGATATATATATATAGGTTCCAGAATCATGGCAATAACCATTTTAGATGTTTTAGCTTCTAAGTGTAAACAGATGAGCTATAAATACACACAACTAGAATCCCAAGTTTGTCTATCTTTTTCTTTTTTTTCCCCTTTTTTTTATGATTTATCTTACTGCACATAAATCCCACAACCTAAAGGCCTGTGTTCTTCATACTGTTTGTTGTGTATGTCTGGAGGCCTTTACAGATGGCGAACATTGATCTTGTGCACATTAAGTTGCTTAACAAATTTGAAATTGCAAGCATCAAGCTTGTTGTTGCAAATTTTATTAAATCCATGTCACATAGTGTTTCTAGGGATAGAGTTATAAAATGGCAAAAAGTCACAAAAAGTAAAAAAAAAAAAACAAATTATTAAAACAAGGTTGAAGTTAAAATTAGCTAGAGAGGATGTAAAAACAACACATGGAATAATATATATAAAGAAGATTAAGATATTATCTTGGTTTTTGGATCTTTTTAACCATGCTGACCTGAAGGATAAATCTTAATTCTGTACCTTGGACTCTAGCTGATATGATTTGTTAACAAGACTAGTTTATGTGAATCTGCTTATTAATTGTGATTTAAGCCAGACCAGTGGTTATTGTGTAAGTTGTAAAGCTGTTCAGCCAATAAATAAACTTTGTGAACCTGGCTCCACATCAGAAAGTAATTATCTGGTCATTGGCTCTTCCCAGCCTGAATTCAGAGCTGCTCTGTAAGGAAGTTACTTATGCAACACACTTCCAAAGAAAACCTCTATAATCATATTTGTTTGCCGAGTTATGAAATTCTTAACACTGTTTATTTTGCTTCAGGTCCAACTTTACTGAACAAACTTGAGGTGGCCTTATCTAACGAGAATCTGTCTGTGGACGTTGTGTCTCACTGCCTGCTTTGTTTGAAGGAGGAGTGGATGAAGTGAGTAAGACCACTAAGATCAACATGAATATGAGAAAGATTTCATTGTTCTCATCAGAGGTTTTCGCTCTTTCAGTAAAGTCAAAGTGCTGTTCAAATTCTCTAAAGTGGATGGTCGTGGGAGGGAGGACACCCAGAGGGTTCTGACCCTGCTCGGTGCCACGGGGCCCGGGGAGGAAGACAACGTCAGGCTGTTGAAGTACTGGATGACCGGACTGAGCAAAACCTATAAGAGTCATTTAATGACAGCTGTGCGAGGAGGGGAGAGGAGCCCCAGCCAATGATAAAAAGAGGAGGAGGTGGGACATACTGAGAAAAAGAAAATGACTGCAATTGTATCTAAATGCTAAACGAAGCAAGAGGAAGTCTTTTCATGGGTAGTTCTGTTGGCCCTATGGATTCACTATTAAATGAAGGAGCACTGTGAATGGGTGACAAGAATGATTTTGTTCATCCATTATTGTCTTTTTAAGTAATAAGAAATCTATTGTGTAGTTGCCTCAGATGATCATCCTGCACAGCTTAACAAAGAATCATATTGGATAAAGCATGGGATATTTTTGTTAAAGGGAATTTTTGAAACAGGCCTTTTATGTGAAAATTAACTTATTACTAACAGCCTTTGCACTTAGTTTATAAATGCTGATAGATCCGAAAGAAATAAACCATAAGTCAGATGCTCCTTATTCTACAATTGGCTCCATCTGGTGGTTAACTGGGATAATAGAAGGAGTGGAAGTACAAGTGGGAGGTGGAGATGAATGTTTCTTCTCAAGCTCCCACTCACTTGTTTGAGTGGCCCTCAGCCAACATGTCTCAAGTGGTGTAAGAAAAGACTTTTTTGGGGTTTTCTGCAACTCCAATATGTACGAAATGCTTGCAAAACAAGCAGTTCTCGCACCAACTGGACCAACCGCATCTGCACATGTTTGGCGCCTTAACGAGCCAGTCGCACACTGATCCTCTGTGCTTTTACTCAAATCCAAAGCGTCTCTTGCTTGGCTGAGGTCCGCAGACTTCAGTCAATAAAACCCGGCAACATACGGCTCCATTTAAACTGAGTAGATTTTTCTTTTTTCAATTTGTTTTCCTTGACCTGAAACTATGTGATGATTGTGCAACCAGTGTTCTTGCATTCTGGAAAACTATGAGATCTGATTTAAATGGATTCCACATCTGAATAAGTATAGAAAAAGAAAATAAAAAATGAAAAAAAATGGTTAAATTGAAATGTTATATCTATCTTTCTCTTTAAATATTCCCCCAAAACATTGAAATGTCTTCTGTTAATGCCTTGATATTTCAGTATAGGCTAATAAAAGAACTGAGAACTGTGGTAAAAAAAAATGGGATTTCACCATCTCTGTGATCCCTATGGAACAGATGCATACTCAGCTTTATAAATCAGTTTATTAATACTTAATGGATGATAGCTTTGATTCTAAAAACAATGTGTCGACTAATGCTTATTCTTCTCTACTCATAGCTTAAATCTGGATTTAATTTGCTCTGACTGCGTTATGTTGAAAAAAACTGTATCTTTAAAGTACTTGCATATTTTGCTCAACATGCAAGTGATGCATGAAGCAGGAAGACTGCACAAGGGATGAATATTTATAACTGTCAACGCATGCTAAAGGTTGAGAGGTTTCCACTTGATGAGGCCTCGGGGAGTTTTGAAGAGGGCGGGTGGCTTTATTTTTTCCTCGCAGCAAGTTAGCTGAGGGGAAATGGAAACTATAGAGCAGCAGCAGAGATGATACTTTGCTAAGATGTCCGCTTTCTCTTGACCCGCAATGACAAAGACCACGCAGAAGAACAGCATTTTCCTTTCTTCCTTCCTTGACAACTTGCAAAAATCAGAAGCAACAGGATGCTGCAGGATGACCTGAGGCCTCAGATCAACACGTTATAGACAAGCTGTTGATAGCTGCTCACAGTATTGGAATTTAATGTAACGTGATGCACATCTATGACGTTTTCTTAAGTGACCGTGAGGAGCTGTTTCACGTAGAATGACATGCATGTTCTGGCAGTTGAGTGTTGCAATCCTGCTTGTCTGACTGACAAGGAATGTTATTCTTTGTGTTATTTAAAGCAAAAACAAAAGCAGCACATGTGACAATCAGGATGATAATGACTCTAAGGCAGATCTGCAGGCGCAGAGGTGCGGGGGAGACTTAAAATGAGAAACATACGCTCCAACTGCATGACTAAGCCTCCTTGGCCCTTGTTTGGAAATGGGGGAAGGGGGGTGAGGGTGTCAGGGAATGTGGGGAGCGGGAGGAGGGAGTCGGGTCAGTCAATAGTGAGGTAAAACGTGTGGCGTGGGAGGGGCCGGGAGTTAAAGGGAGCAGGCAGACAATTGAACAACCACTTTCACTTTGAGCGTCTGAGTGGAGAACACAAGTGACCAGAGGGAGAAGAAAGGGGCCCGCGTCTCTGCTGCTTTATCCATTTATTAGGTTTAAGGAACCCAGGAGCACTACAATTTCAGGAAAATTCCAGGTCCGTAGTGCAAGACAGAAAAAAAAAGGAGCAGAAACAAGCTCAGAAAACGAAAGAAGACTGCATCCTCCTGGGGTTTTATGGGAAAATCCAAAAGTGAAAGAGAATGATGTGCTGTAATTAATGGACCATATTTTGGAAAGTACCAGAGGAAGCCAAAAGAAGAGAATGAACTGAGGGATGTGAGAGAGAGGACTAAACATCGACCGCTGAGAGAGAGAAAAGGCAGAAGCGTGCTCTGTCAGAGACCTCAACAAGCCACAAAGAAGGAAACTTTGCCTTTCACAGAGTGACACAGCTGAAGAGTGATTGCTGTCAACAAGAGAAATGGAGAAGTGTCCATTCTTGGAAAGATAAAATGCCAGGTGAGTACCTATATATCATGAATGCCTTGTCTTTTTAAAAAAAAAATTTAAGTGCGCAATTCTAAAATTTGTAGAGCAGAGCTTCCACATGCTTATTCAGGTATTGCTGTAAATTTTTACCGCATGTGTCACTACAGCCTTCATCTGCACTTATGTCATACTGTTGGAGGTAATACAACTCCGGCTCAGAGTATTTTGTGTGTTTTCTGTAGATATACCTTAATGACACAGGATATGTTGTAAAGTACCTCTTTAGATATGCAGCTCAGAGTAGTTAGAAACCACAGAAAGTTTCCACCTATAATCTGGATTTCATCTGCTCTCTTCATCCTCACGCATGTGTCAAACAGGTCTACTCTTGCTACTGCTTTTCATCGTCGACTGTGGCTGCTGTAGGTTTGAACTGAAAGGCGTCGAGAACATAAAGGCCACAATTGAGTCTAATCCAACTGGATTTGTAAGTTTTTACTTTCTAAAAAATGACAGCTTCGCTAACTGCACAGACCGCAAGTCTTTAAAGTGAGAAAGTGATTTGAAGGAATACAATTTGGCTTGGCAGGTGACTCATTGTAAGGTTATCAGATCAAGCTGGGAGCAGATTTGAAACAATTGTGAAAGATAGGCTTCATTTTAACAACTTTGGTCAACAACGCTAATCTATTCTAATCTTTGCTTTTTCTCCTTTAGCGGTCTGTGTTTCCTAAAGATTATCGTGTAGTGCACCACTACACCCGAAGCATGTTGTGCGAAACTGAGCCGGTGAGTTTATTTATCAGGTAAACAGAAATCATAGGTCTCACGTGTTATAAACTGCTCGTGCACTTTATGGTCTTGCAGTATTCACTGAAATCAACTTCTTATTGTGGGTTAGTCATAGATTTTGTGAACTAAGTAAAAAATACCTTTTGCACAGACCTTAATTTTAATATTCAAAAAGCCTGTCGGTTAACAGATCACTTCGACAGCTGCTCTCTAGTGTCACTTGCACTTGAGTTTCACTGATGTGGTTCTTGTGGTGATTCAGCATGTGAGGTGCTTGCTAACTCTGAGGCATCTCTCTCTACAGTGTTGCGTGTTCTCTGCAGCAGTGGTCCTTGTAGAATCCTGGCATGTGCTCCTCACAAACCTCTGGGATCAACATCTTAATTACACTTTCATCTTAGAGCTGAAGGAGACACTGGATAAAATTGTCAATAGGAACAAAAATATAGAGGTAACATTTCCTTTCATGTATGTGTTCTTGTTCTGGCATGTTACGTTTTAAGAGTTCTGTAAACTATGTAATAGGCTATGTTGTAGAGTTGTATTTCAATTATTTTTTATGACTTGACTAACTCTTTATCTCTTAATTCTTTAACCCTCTAATTTGATTATTTCCTTTTTGTCAGCGGTTCCAGGAGGAGACCGATCTCGACCAGTACCCCACGCTGTCTTCCTCCCCAGAAGAACTCTTAAATCTAACATTAGGACTTTTTGCTCGGTGGCTAGAAGTTGGTTGCTCACCTTCAATTGAAACTTGTCTTCCACCCACGTTGCCTCCCTCTGTTGAAAGAAAGGACTACGGTCCAGTGAGGGTCAAACTGCTGACCACCCGAGCCATTAATAGCGAAGAAAACCAACCTGGCAAAAGAATAGCCAGTAAACCACCATCGTCCTGTGGAAGATCTCTATCCCTGCCTCGCTCTGCAGCTTTCTGGAGTCCCCTGTTATTGTTCTTGTCATTTGGACTCTACTGATGGCAACATTTCTTTTTTTTTTTTTTTTTTTGCACAATAATGCAAATTTTATGTGGCACTGAATTATCTATTTTGAGTTTTTATGCAGTAAGCTTTGCAAAAATGAAGCGACATGCATTGGCTGAATAAAATACCTAAAGTCAAATATAAATATATTAAACCTATAGTCGCTCTATTGAAGAAAAAAAAAAAGGTATTTGTGCTTTTCATGCTAACAGAAGATCCAAACTGAGCTAGTCAGTGCACATAAGCCATCCCTTCTGGTTGCCTCACTGTTTACAGTTAAATATAGTAGAAGTTTATTTCTGTATATAAATGTAAATTTTGTTCCTCTAGATATATACATTATTAGCATTTGGTTTAAATTAGAATTATCCTGTAACTTTTATTTATTATCATTGTTTTGTTGTTTGTCAACAATGGAAGAGTGCATTAGCTTTTGTAAATGAGCTAAAAATCTGAGGCCGACAGTTTTTCTCGTCTCCAAGACATTTATAGGACAATAAATGTTGCTGGATGGATCAATGTCCTGTTACACAAACTAAAACAGTAAATAGCTTCTTTTCATACATGTTATTTTACAGCTTTAACATCTCTTATTTTCTGTATATTTACTGAAATTGAACAAATTATGCCTCAGTTAATTGTTCGTCCGCGCTAGAGCACCTCGATGCTTTGGTGATCCCTTCAGCGCTGAAAGGATTTTTTGTTTATGCTCCTTGATGTTGTGTGTACCTGCAGCGTGTATTCATGTCAGGTGGACTGTGACAGCATTTTTTCTTTTCTTTCCAAGATGCCATCTTGCAAGTTGGTAGAAAAGAAGAAAGTTCAACGATAAGCTGCAGACAAGGATAGGAATGCATTGTGGCAACCTGGATTTTGTCTGAACCTATATGAGGAATAAAAGTGCAATCTTTATGCTAGCACTTGCCTCTGCTTGCACACACACCCAGAAATGTAAGCGGCACCATTGTCCTTTCATCTGAAGTCTATTCCCTAGTTGTCACTATGGAAGCAACATGTTTGGAGTACTTGTTTACTCTGAAGTTTTAAGGAGTAAAAACACATTCGGAGGGTAGAACCTTTCACAGAGCCTGTGTCTTGTATCATTGCCATTCGGATGTGTAAATATTTTAAGACACTGATATCTGAGAGGGATATTAGTGTCTGTGATGGGTGTTTCATAATTCGTTTAAATATGCTGAATTATTCATGGGAAGTGCTTGTCTTTGGTGGGTCACTACATACAGATGACCCCAATAAAGAGCAGAATATATAGACCGGAGAAGGGGGGGAGGTTTCTGGGAGTATTGGGGTGACAATGCACAATACAGCCAACAGCTCACTGATACAATTTCGAGAGAAATCTTTGAAAGCCTGCTTTTTTCAGACAGCGTGGAGCCAAGCGCCAAAGAGGCCAGCTGAATTCCCGTAAACAGGGTGGGAGAGAGGGAGGCGAGGCAGAGCAGGAGGAGGGGAAGAAGGGAGAGGAACCACGTGGCCGCTGTAGAAACCGGAAGTGCTTTGCCAATATGTCTGCGCCCGATGAGCACGCGCTCGACCAAGGAGGAGAAGGCGAAATGGAAGACATGGAGGAAGCGGGCAGCGAGGAGGAGGACGAGGGAGTAGACATGGAGGCAGACGGAGAGGCAGAGAAGAAGGTTTACGTCCCCGGGATCGAGCCGCTCCAGCCCGGAGAGGAGCTGGAGATGGACCGCTCTGCGTACCGCATGTATCACGAGTGCCAAACAGGCGAGTTCAGACCCGCTATGTTCAGTCTGAATGAGCTCCTCCACGATTCGAAGGTGTTAAGCTTGTTGTTGGCTTCCAGGTGCTCCCTGTCTGAGCTTCGATGTGGTGAAGGATGGAGACGGAGACAGCAGGCAGGAGTTCCCCCTGTCCATGCTGCTGTGTGCGGGGACACAGGCTGAGACAGCCCTTAAGAACAGGTAGAAGGCACATCACAGCATTTAGCTTAGATCTGCACATCTATGTTGGAAACATTAAAATAATGCACCACGAGCAAATAAAAACATGGCTCTATTTGTTTTGTTTATTACAAATGTCTCTTTATTTTGGTACTGTGCGTGGGTGTTTTCTTTATTTTTACTTTTTTATCTTTAGTTGAATATTTTTCTGAAGACCTATTACTTGTAATATTGAACACACATTTTCAATTTAGAAAAAACAATGATGGCAACATGGATGAATACTATGAGTACTATGGAGGACCAAATCCGCCCTATTTAAAAATAAATACAGAAATAAATAAATGCTCAATAAATAAATAAGCATACAATTAATGCCCCCCCCCCCAAAAAAAAAAAGTACAATAAACTAATAAATGTGGGTAGAAATGAAATAATATAGTGAGACATAAATGTATGAATCTCTTTTAATTATTGTAATAATTACCTTATTTATTTATTGTCCGTTATAATCTTCAACTTAAATTATTAAAAAAATTTTAAGTATTTATGTGCATGATGTAATATTTCTGTCTGTTTTATTCTTCCTTTGTATTTTTTACCCTATATATTTTTTTAATGCTATTTATCTCTGCCTGTTGTTTTTACATTTCTGTATGCATTTCTGCCTCATTATGCAAATGAGGAAGCTGTGTTGCTTAGAGGGTCAACTTTTATTATTTATTGAGCATTTAACTTCTGTATTTATTTTTAAATATGGCAGAGTCGGTCCTCCATAGAATACAGGATGTTAGAGAAAATATGATATGGTGGATCGAATTCTGAAATACAAGACATTCCACATCCATTCCCCCTTTTATTGGATTTAAAACATACCTGCTGATTTTCTAGTTATAGATGAATTTAAATATAATTTGCAACATCAATGCTGCGAATACCAGAGCTCTAAATTGAGTTGATGCAGGACTTCAGTTCAGCTCAATCTTTAATATCCTGCCTGAAGTAAAAAAAAAAAAAAGAAAAGAAAAAAAAGGTGAGTATTAATTTTATGTGCTTGGAACTTTATTTTAATTAAATATGTTCAGTCTCTACTTTGACCAGAGTCCTTTTTACACAGGTATGTGTACTTTTACTTTAGAATGAAAATACTTGGACACCTTTTGTTGAGAAGCTTGTGTTGTAGTTTTAGGTTGGGCAGTTGCTTCATTACAATAATGCATAACCCTGATTCAAATTACAACCCCACAGTCTAAAATTAGTGCTAAGAAATATCAGACTGCAAACTTTAAGTGCAGTAAGAAATTCAATCCTTTTTTTTTATATTAGTTAAAACTGTCCCCATGTCCTGACAGGAATGTAAAGGGAGATCTTATGTAAAATAAAGCGCCTTTGCCTCTTTCCAGTGGTCTTAGATACTACTGGTGGATAAATTAACTGTATACCTTGAGAGGTGGATAAAGGCATCATGCTTGACACACACTAAAAAAAAAAAAAAAGTTAACAAATACCACATATGGTGACAACTAGCGTTGCAACCTGGATTGGCGTCATTCATGCGATATCCGATCAGAGTTTCAGATCGACCCTAAAGGCTTATCCTCAGAAACCGTGTCGTCTGCATGTGTGTCGCAATTAACGCAGATATGCCCCATCCCCTTCTGCAGACACGCTGCTGCACCTCTCCAAAATTGTAGGTGACCGCAGACAGTGCCGCAGACAGGAGGCCTCTGACTGGTCAATTTTACACCAGCTCTACACTATCCGTATTTCCTGTTTGGTATCTTACTGGCTTTTTTTGTTTGTATGACCGCCGTTGTGGAAAACGACTCGTGTAGATGGACCAGCTAGAAGAGCAAGGTGCCTGAGAACGCTCGGCCATATCTAGACCCACAGCTAGTTCGTGATTTTCCCTCTTGTGTTGTGGCGTGGAATAACATAGCGCAGACCAGGCTTCAATATTGGGAATAAATCAAAAACATCTGCGTCTTACCTGTGACAAGCTCACTGCGACACACTGCTGCAGGAGCATAGCTAAGCCCTTAACAATGCATTTCTAGAAACAGCCAGCAAAACGAATGTGTCAGGTCAAACAAGCTTGTTCGCGCACTGCTCACACCCCTTCCCCACTCAGCCCATACTGTCCTTGGAGCTGCTATGCTGCAGCTGTTTGCCAATGAAAGTCCTATCATTGATGTTGTTCTCTTCTAGTGATCCTTTAGCAGTTTTATCGGAAGCCCAGCTTCCTAGCCTCCGTGGGAGGTGCTGTGGAGCTAAGGCTGTAGCGCAGCAGAGATTAAGGGGAAGAGGGGACCTGTAAAACTTGGTTCCACTGGTGGTGCAAACTGCTTTAGCGCCGTACCTTCGCAGGGGATCACAACTGTGATCGGTCACAGCAGGTCTACTTGGTGTGCTGCAGTTTCTGAAGCTTCCAAGGCTTTGTTCACTGCTGGTAAATGCAACTCGTATCCAACTTTTGAATGTCTTAACTGAAATCTTTTCAAAACATTTTCAAATTTGACCACTTCCATATGTGGTATTAAAGTCGTAGGGAAGTCATATTTAAATGTCAAATCATTCTATATATAATAATCATTTTTGTTATGTTATTGTATGTTTTATTATGTTATTTTTGTTAATCATTCTGCATTATATTATCATTCTATCATATAAATGTACTCTGTCAGACTGTATTGTCTTTATAAAATTTAGAAAATTTCTATTTAAAAAAAAAATCCTGTCTTAAAATCTGTTGGGTTATTTTCGTTATCTTATGCAGGCTAGTTAGTTATACGTCAGGTTGTACACCTAAATTCGGCCAATCATATATCAGCAGTCGTCTGTCAATCACATTTTTTCTGTCATAGCATCTTGATTCGTATGTTGCAGCTAATATATGCAACGGTTGAAATACTCGTACTCGTCGTCTCCCACTTTATCCGGAACCGGGTCGCGGGGGGAGCAGACTAAGCAGAGACTCCCAGACTTCCCTCTCCGCAGACACCTCCTCCAGCACTGTTGGGGGAAGCCCTATACGCTCCCAGGCCAGCCGAGAGACATAGTCTCTCCAGTGTGTCCTGGGTCGTCCCCTGGGCCTCCTCCCGGTGGGACGTGTCTGGAACACCTCCCGAGCGAGGCATCCAGGGGGCATCCGAAGAAGATGTCCGAGCAACCTTAACTGACTCCTCTCGATGTGGAGGAGAACCGGCTCTACACTGAGCCTCTCCCGAATGACCGAGCTCCTCACCCTATCTCTAAGGGAGAGCCCAGCCACCCTGCGGAGGGTGCTGATTTAAGCCGCTTGTATCCGGGATCTCGTTCTTTCGGTCATGATCCAAATTTCATGACCATAGGTGAGGGTGGGAACGTAGACCGACCCATAGGTGAGGGTG